ATTCATCTGACCTCATTTAGTGATTTCTGGTGGATTTAATTAGATAGACTCATAGGGTAAGCAGTGTAGGAGAGGGGGTCATAACCAGGGAGCAAGAGAGAGAGACAAGCTGAAAGGCATGCATGTGATCCACTCTCAACTGCACTTAACACAGCTGTATCTTCTCGGCTGTATGTCTTCACTTTAGTGAGCATTTCCAAATCTGCTCATAGTGTGCAAATGGCACGGGAAACATGACCAATGAAAAAGGGATACTAACTTTGAAAAAGAGATGACAAATTATATTTTTACTGGTAAAACTTAAAATTCCAAATGAAATGTTCAGAGTGTGTTTTTTTGTGTGTGTTTTGTTGTTGTTGATGTTTTGATTTTTTTTTTTTTTTCTTTTTGGTTTTACAAGACTGGGCTGTCCTGGACTCACTTTGTGGACCAGGCTGGCCACAAACTCACAAAGATCCATCTGTCTCTGCCTCTCTGAGTGCTGGGATCAGAGGTGTGTGTCACCACACTCAGTTGTTTTTGTTGTTGTTGTTTTAGGGTGAAGCAGAGAGAAAGACACCTGAGATACAGAACTGACATTCATGGCTGCCAGACCCAGCAGAAGGCATGGAGATGCACTGTGACAGGCCCAGGAGCTCCTGCTGGACCTGAGCAGCTGAACTACGGCAATAGCTCCTCAGCTCTGTTCCATCAGGACAGACTCTCATGGCTTATAGATCACACCTCCAGCAAGAGGCGAAACACAAAAGCCTTCAATTCAGAAAGCAACACTCTGTTATGTCAACACCCCCTTCTGCCTTAATATTTCAGACTAATAGCCCTGAATGGGAAGAGAAGACAGTGATTGCTACGTATTCCCAAACACCTAGAGAAAATGAAGACTGCTCCCTGTACATGACTGTACAGTGTATACAGAGAACACAGCAACTTCCACATGATTACGCTACGATAAGTCATGAATGAAATAATCCTAGATTGCATTTATTGCCTCAAATTACAGCATGCACCACAGAGAATTTAAAGTTTATTTATTTAAATTTCAAATTTCTTTAAGGGTCATTTTTTGCAAGGAGAGTCCAAACATGAGGGTAAGGGCTGTGCATCGCTGAGAACCCAACAGGTGTGCATTATGTAATTACGCTGAATGAAACAGTCTCTTTATCAGCACCGTCTAGCACATTTCCATCTGTGTGAAAAACGTAAAGCAAATTAAACAGGCATTTTCCATCTTTCAGACGGCGGTCCACTGTCAGCACTACAGACATTTTGGGCCATAACTTTCTTCACCATGGAGTAAGTGAGATGGCTCCGGGGATAAAAAAATATCTCTTGTACAAGCCTAATGACCTGAGTTCTATCCCAAGATTCACAGTGGAAGGAACCAATCCCCCCCAAATTTCCTGTAATCTCCTCAAGCATGTTGTGGACATTAAACACACACACACACACACACACACACACACACACACCCCACTTAATAATCAGAAGAAAAAGACTTTAAAAAGTCACTAAAAAGTTCTTCACCACAGTGGGCTGTAGACTGTGAAAAGCACACAACTAGTGCATGATGATTCTCAGAGCAGAGGAGAAAAGGTGCAAAATTCTCTTTATTCTGTTTGTAAGTGTGGAGGTGTAAGAGGATTATTCCAATCCAAGGCTGCCAGTTTTCAGGATATGCGGAGCTGTGAAAATACATACAAAATGGTCTAAATGCCAAATGCCCTATGGCTATGAACAGTCTGAAAGAGGCATGCTCACAGCCAGCACTGGGCTGTTCATTATGAATTGTGTCTAAGAGAACAACTTTGAAAATGCTGTTGAATATTTATTAAAAGGAAAGATCTATAATAATTCAGGTTTTGACATGCTACTATTAACATCTGGTTGGAAAGGTTATGAACTGTGGAGGAAGAAACCATTAAGTTTATGAGTAGGGTTAATACATTGTGTGTCACTGTTTTTTACTGACTGCCCTGCTATTACCTCAGAACACAGCCTGAGATGCCGTTATTCATGCAGAATTTTTTTTTTTTAAAGACTCTATAAGCATTTTAGTCCCGTTTCTACTTTAGAGATTCTAGGAGTATTGCTTTGTGTATGTGTTGTTTTATGTTTACTTGTTTGTTTCTAAGACAAGGTCTCCAGGCTATCCTGGAACTATGGAGACCAGGCTATCCTTGAATATGCATTGATTGTCTAGCCTCTGCCTCCAGAGCACTGGGATTAAAAGTGTGTGCCAACATAACCAGCTGACATTGAACATTATACAAAGATAATGCTTAAGCTCAAGATGTGCATTTTGGCCAACAAGACCAATATAGTAAAGTCAAAGAAAAATATGAACACTATAAAAATATGTACAGTTACTTATGATAATTCATCATAATACTTAAATACACCTTTATTCATCATTTAGCAAAACAAAGATGAGGGGAAAGAGATCTAAAGGCAGGCAAGAGACTCAGAGACAGCCCCTACTCCAATTGCTAGGGAACCCACATGATGACCAAGCTGCACATCTGCCTCATGTGTGTAGGGGATCCAGGTCCAGCCCATTCATGGTCTCTGGTTGGTGGTTCAGTCTCTGTGAGTCCCCATGGGCCCAGTTGAGTTAACTCTGTAGATCCTCTTATGGTGTCCTTAACTCCTCCAGCTCCCCCACTATTTCCCCCTTAACCCCCACTTTTCCACAAGATTCCCCGAGCTCCGCCTATTGCTTGGCTGTAGGTCTCTGTATCTGTTTCCATCAGCTGCTGGATGAAGCCTCTCAGGAGACAGTTATGCTAGGCTCCTGTCTATAATCAAGGCAGAGTAGCATTAATAGTGACAGGGGTTGGCCCTCTCCCATGGGGTGGGTCTCAAGTTGGGCCAGTCATTGATTTGCTATTCCCTCAGTCTCTGCTCTATCTTTATCCTTACACTTCTTGTAGGCAGGACAAATTTTGTGTTCGAAGGTGGCTTGGCGTCCCCCTCCCTCCACTGGAAGTCCCACCTGCCTACTGGAGGTGGCGACTTCAGGCTCCAGATTCCCCAGCTGCTTGGAGTCTCAGCTAGGGTCACTCCCCTAGACTCCCAGGAGCCTCCCTAGTCTACAGATGTTCCCCACTGATTTCCATTCTCTCTCCAAGTTGCCCCATTCTCTGCTCTCCCCATAAGTGATCCCCATCCCTATTCCACTTTTTTATACATTAAAAATAAATAGTGTATTATGTTAATTCCTAACACTCAAAGAGGCTTAAGACATTTGCATTCCCTCCTGTCAGTCCCTTCATAAGCGTATCTAGATTTAGGACTCTGAAATTGGAAGCATGGAATTCCTAAATCCACTAAGCGACAGACCATTCACACTATGCAAAAACGCTGTACTCAAACTCAACTGTGCACATAATTATAGTATTCAAATGAGATCACTAATTTAGACATGTTCTATCATGTCAAGTATAAAGAACATAAAAATGTATGAGTGAAATCTAACAAGAATAAGAAAAAAAAGAAAAAAATGGAGCTACTCTTTTTTTTTAGGAAATGAAAACTCATAGTGCATGGTACAATACATTCATGGAAATATTAGCAGGAAATCCAGCTTAACTGTTCATGTCAGTGAGTGAGTTAAAAATACAGTGGTGTCAAGTACTTAGACAGAAATCGAACTCTGTGCTTTGGATTACAATATTTGCATTTGGATGAAATTGGAACACATGAGGCATGAAATGGACAAATTAATCTTCATTCGAATTACCTAACATATTATTATAAAACTCAATAAAATCATATGTAAAATAGCATAATACTTCACATTGTTATTTAAATTTTCATGTGGCAGTATTGTAATTTCTCACCGCAATGGATTGAGCCTAGCATGCTGCTGTGTGGAACAGTCATTACAAGAACTAAGATGGGTCCTTAACATTTTTATCATCACTTTAGGATTTATGAATGTCTCATTATTAAAAAAAACGGCATCTCCAATAAAGATGGATCCAATGGATGTCACAGAAATATCAGCCCTTTAGATTCAACTTTTCCTGCTGAAGCTAAAATGTAAAGTTGGCACCATCAAGCTTGACATTGACATTTAGGGATGGCATTGACAACGGCCTTTGCTACTTGCTAGAAACTGCTTTCAACTGCACACCGCCAGCTAGCAGACTCCTAGGGCACACTGTATGTGTAAAATTAAAAAAATGCAACACCCTAAACTTTTTCAATGGTTATGAGAGTCCATGTCATGACTCATTATACACATGTGCATATGTAAAATTAAGGAAATTAAAATTTTAGACTATTCAGAGCCAAAACAAAAGTTGTGAAACAGACATCATTAGAACTGTACAACATCATCTTTGTAGCACTTGGGTAAAAGATGATGCCAGTGTAAGACTTCAGCCTTAACATAACAGCTTTATCAGGAAGCCAAAACAAGTTACATTGGTTTACATGACCAGAGCTCTCAAGAACATTAAAGGAAACCAACAGTTTAGACCTAATTTGCCTGGGTTTTGTCTGGTATGCTTGAACCCACAGAATGCACGTAACAGAACGTTTCTCACCCACAGCAGACACTACAATTATTAAGAAATAAATTTCCACTGTAGCACAAAGAGCAAATTTAACTATAATAATTTCAGTTTAAAATACTAGGTCTCTGTGCTTTATAGGTAGATGCCTTTTAAAAATCAGCACCAATACTAAAAAAAAATTTTTTAAATGTTTGTTTTATAGAAGTAAACCTTATTTCCCCCAGCTTAATTAGACATATTTGTATAGAAAACCGTTGGTCCATCAAATAGAGGAATTTTAGCCAACACCAGTCCCTATTGTTGACACTTTAAGCAGATTAACTTGAAAATAAATCTTAAGGATTCCCCATCCCTCCCCCAAGTTTTCCTTTGGTAGCAAATGACAAAGAAATACCATAGAATTGCCTGAACTCAGAATTTGAAGCCAGAACCCCTCGTTTTGGGTCTGACAAGCTTTATCATTTGGCATCTGGGTCTTACCCTCAGTCTTCTGGACTCTATTTCAGGGTTACTGGTTTCTATAATGCCGTGTAGCGGTGTGAATGTGAAACGCTCTTCCTATAGGACCAGTTCTCAACCTGTGGGTCACAACACCTTCAGGGGATCACACAACCCTTCCATGGGGGGCACCTAAGATCACAGGAAAACACAGGAACGCACGTTACCATTCACGACAGCAACAAATACACAGTTATAAATTAGCAACAACATAATTTTATGGTTGGGGGTCACCATAGCATGAGGAACTGTCTTAGTGAGCCTCGGCCTTAGGAAGGTTGAGAAGCACTGTTCTGTAAGCTCACACATTTGAGTACTCGATCCTGGCTGGGGGCGCTGTTTAGCGGGTGGTGGAATCTTGCTGGAGGAAGTGTGCCACAGGGAGTGGGCCCTGAGGTTTTAGAGATCAGTTCTGTGACCTGTCCTCTTTTGGCTTCCTGACTGTAGGTGCAATGTGACGAGCCACCTACTGCCACCGTGGCACCTCTACCAAGATGGACTGCATCGTTTCTGCCAGGTATTTTGGCCCAGCATTAAGAAAGGTAACTGTGATAGGGAGGTTTTTTACGCTTAGTTAAAAATTAAAGGACAAAGCATTTGAGGACTGATACATACAACAGGAATGAAAATACAACAACCGTGGTTGATAAATACTCCATAATATCTGTAACATAATGAGGTCTATTTTCATAAAATGAGTGAAAATCAAGCAATATCATAGATAGAATACTTCAGATAATCTAATGGGCCAGACATATTACTGAACTATGAAAGTACTGGTACAAACTTGTCAACTTTCTAATGACACCATCCATGATAAAAGCTTAGCTTTTTGTGAACTGTCACTTGTGTCCTTTATCACTTCCCCTTTCAATGGGCTCCTTCAAGGAAGCAAAGGAGGTGTGCTCCTTCAGAACCACTTTGATGTAGTAAGAAAGCTCCTCTCCCATTCTTCCCCCTCTCCCAAGTGTCTGTGTTCCTCTGTCCACATCAGGGTAAATTAATGGAAAGGGAAAGAAAACATGACAATTGGACTTCAGAAGTAGACTGAGATCCAGGATCAAGCTTTTTTTGGTGATCTTATTGCAGTCCTGAGTGCCATCCCCATCCACCATCCAGAGTCTTAATACTGATGGAGAGGAACTGAAAGCCCCCATGCCCAGTGCAGACACTGTAAAGGAAAGACATGCTGCCCTCGGTGGCGTCTTCCTGTTTCACTTCTCTGTCGTGTCCCTGTCTCCTCCACTCCCCTCACCCCCAGACCCCACCCCCCCCCGGCTACCACTTAAGCAAGCACCTCCCCCCGTTCCGCCCCCTGCCTTTTGTCCCTTTTTTTTTTTTTTTTTTTGTCAGAAATTTCTCTCACTTAAACTTTCCATCCCATCTTCTTTTCATCTACATGCCACCTTGGCCTCGTCTTTACGTTTTTATTCCACATATTCTCTCAGGCAGACAGCAACTTCAACAGCCATTTCAAATACTCAGCTATCTAGAACACAGTGAGGCCTATTCTTGTAAAAATAAGTGAGTCCTATTATATACCGAATATATCAGATAAGGCAATGGACTAGATACACTGATAAACTACAAACGATGAACCTCCATTTGCAACTTGGGGGTTGCCCCGAATTTTAAGCCACAGTCTGCACAGCATCTCTAGGCTCTGGTGCATGCTGCTGCATAAATCCACACCTTCTTGTCACCTTCTCCTGTGGGATGTTCCATCCTCTGAGCTCACTGGCATTGCCAGTGGAACCTCGATATCTTCAGTTATCTGAACTAAGCCATCTGGGGGTGCTCATGAAAGTCTCTGCCCCCTCCTAGCCTCTCTGTCTCCCCAGAGCATCTAAACCCTTACCAGTCTGAATTCAAAAAAGAGAAGCTGACATGCTCAGTTTCACCTGCAGTCCCAAGCATGGCCTCCAAGTCACTTCACAGAGTGGCCCCAGCCTCTACTCTCCAATTCTATAACCACCTCTGCCATATCAATTGTTCCCAAACACGCTGACTGAGCTGCTGTTTTACAATCCACTACCCAGCTCAGCGACATCATCAGACTCACTCTATGCCCCGAACCACATGGTACTCTGCTACTCCTATAGATTCAGACTAAGCACTATTTCCTGAAGGAAAACCACACGCTGGTTTTTTAAAACTCCTGTATTTTTATTAAGTCTTTCCTTTGACAATTTTAAGGAGTGAGATTTCCCTGATATCTCATCTCCTAAAATATATATCTGATAAATGTCCAAATGAGTATGTGTCCCTCTCACAAAACTTGATGCAAACACAGCCAAGCCACTGGTGACTGGTTAAGTACGGATTAGTGGCTCACAGCTCTTTTCAGGTGTCACACATAAAATCATAAGGCCACTTGGTACAGTTTCCTAGTGCTGAGTGCAGAGGGCGTGGGGAACTGTGAATTGCTGTGTTAGCAACTGGCCTTTTACTAAAGAGTCGCCTTGTTGTGCGGCTTTATCGCCTTGGGCTTACAGCATGTGTTGCTTCAGGTTCACTTTCCCATGGTCAACACAACTGGGGGGATGAAGCAAGGGCACATGCTAGAGGGCTGGAGTGGGCGAAGCAGCCCACAGTGGTGGATGGAGTCATAAACACTCAAAACCAGATGCACGAGGAGTCCTCCGAACACTCTTCATCCCTCAGATAACAAACTCAGAGAAGCTTGATACACGCAGCCCCACAGCTGGCTAGGCAAGAGGACGGATGACACAGTGCTGACGCAGTCACACCTTTTCGTCCTTTGAGGAAGTCAGTTGATGCTCATTACTTGCAGATAAAGGGCCGATACGATGTGTTGGGCTGGACCTAGGGAACTGGAGAGGGTGGACTAAAGCTGCCAGCACTTTAAAGTCCACTCCGTAAGGCTCACAGGGGTTTTAATGCTCTGTATTTTAATAAAGGCCACGGTCAGGTCAGAGTGCCTGTTCCTTGGCAGTCTACATTTAGAGAAGAGAAAACAGTTTTAAAACAAGTTTTTAATCACTTACTGGTTTGAAACTCATCCAGTCTTATGGTCTCGCATAAGAACAGAAGAGCCATCAATATACTATGCCTGAATGCTATGAAGATGTGACTAACTTTTAAATGAAAAAATTGAAATGATGTTGGTTCCAATGCGAAATCAAGAGGGGGTGGGGAATGGGGCAGAATGCTTGAGTAGCATGTGCTGGGTTTGACTTTCCGTTAGTCAGTCTGTCCCTGCAGAGGCAATATCTCAGCATGGCTTCAGGGGCTCTGCTTTCTATCTAGACTGGAGTGAGGATAGTGACACCACAGACATGGGAGCTGGATGCTCTTCCTCCGAGAGGACACACTTTAATCCCTACTTGTTAGATGTGTGATTGCCTCTCCTGTAAAAGCCATAGTCGTGCCACAAATGACAGATGACACTGCTCTAACTCAGACCTCTTAAGATTTAAATAAACTTTAAAAAAATCACTTGAGAAAAATCTTAGGCCTTTCCACTTCTCCTTTCTTCAAGGACAATGATGAAAGCATCTGACCCCAAACACAGATGAAGTAAGTATGCCTTGCCACCGGAAGCATTCATGCTTCTTACTTACAAAGTAATGCATGGCTTTTGCTCTTTCTTTTTCATGAAGTGAAATGTGGTTTCTGAGTTCTAGCATAAATTAAGCTTAAGCTCTACCTCGACAAAGCAACAGAGATGGTACCTCTTGTTTAGCCAATCCCAGCTCTGGTCGGGAAGGTTTGTAACAAGTAAGATTGTACATCTCTACTACCTAACACATTACCATAGCTCAAAACCCAGAAGCAGCAGGATATTCTGTAAGGAATACCAAAAAGTTCTGAGCTCTCCTTTTTCTCACAAAACTTACTAATGTAATCTTGGACCCATGACCTTTCTAGACTCGTTTCTGCTTCTGAGAAAACACTACAATACCAGAACTACCCAGAAGGCTGGCGGGAGGGTCGAAGGAAATACTGTAGGTATTGCTGCCAAGGCAGCCACCACACAATAAGTGCTCCAACTCTTATCAGAAAGGATGACCAGCAGAGACTAAAAAGCGGTCAAATAAATCATGCTCAAGGCTGTCTTCTCTCAAACCCACCCATGACCTCGAACTCTGAAAGGACCTGATCTTGAGGTGCAAATGCCACATTGCATATGAACTTCTTGCCTGTATAACCATGAATGCGTGTAACTCCTGGTCAATCCATACATTGCATGAGGTAAGATCAGAATCAACTCCCAGATCCACAAATACAAGTGAAAACTCAAAGGAGTCCCCAGATTAGAGAAGGGTAAATGGCCTTCACTTATTAAAACTGTCTTGCATATTTTGTACCTAGGCCTTCTCCCATCCAAGTGCTAACCAGGCCCAAGCCTGTTTAGCTTTAGAAATCATATATGATCATGTACGAGGGGTGGTATGTCTGCATGCTGTACATGGGTCCTTCTGACAGCAAAAGAAAACTGATATCGGGAGGATTCCTCGAAAATTTGTAAGTGGCAACAGAAAATCCACTAAAACAATCACAAACAGAAAATAACCGTGTGCAAATTAATTTCGCAGACCTAGCTCAAGTTATAGACGTGTTCCAGGGAGACATTTGACCAGAAATCCTAGAACAGGGAACAGTTGAACTACATCTATGGACTGAGGCAAAGGGTGTATGTTTTCTTTGAAAGGAAGGGGCAGAAACACCAGCAGAAGGTGCCAGAGAGACTCAGTTGGTGGCAGGGGTTCTTTTTGGCACACTGCAGCTGTGCAATTGTGTCTACAGGCACACAGAAGCTACCTACTGGAAACTCACTCTTGAGAAGCTTTAAGGAGGGGGAGTGAGGGAGGGAAGAAAAGAGGGAGGAGGAGGGGAGGAAGGGAAAGGGAGACATATTGAGAACACCAGCCAGCACTGAGCATCTAGCTTGGAGTACCTTTTAATGGTAGATACATTAGCTAGCAGGTTCCATTAAACACTGAATCACCTGCGGTACTCAGCTGCCTAGGTGCTTTCTATAGTAATTAGACTTTAGTATCTAGAAGGTAAAAATCAAAGGGCAGAATATGATGGCATGTAGGTGAACCTAAGAAAGCCATAAAAGTATCATGGCCACTCAATTACTCCAGAACTCAGAGGAGAAGCTCAACAGTCCATAGAGATTTCAAACCAAGATGGCTCATACGGAATCCCTACCACAGCTCCCCATGGCTTTGAACCTAAGACTGAAGGAAGCGTGCCTATAGCTGTGATGGGTAAGCGATTTCCATTTTAGAACACTGAATCCAAGCTAAGCCTAGGGCCCCACTCTGGGCCTGAGTGGAGTTGTCCCACAGACGCTGGCCTATGCTCAGCGACAATGTGGACTGCCCCCTGCTTCCAGTAGCTTGTCCCATGTGGACCACCGGGGCAACTACACAGGCAGGCAGGAGGCAAAGCAGAGAGCATCAACTCCAACGTAAAGCAGCAAGTTACACCAAGTTTTTCCTTTGGGTCTATGAATACATAGATAAGAAAGAAGGAAAGAACAGAATCCAGTTTCAACCGAAGGCAAAAACACCATTATCGTTCTCACAGTAGCATGAAAGGGGGCTTGCACTCAGGGCCGGGTATTTAACAGTGAGGACAATAATAATAGCTTCCACTACAAGTACTGTTTAGCAGTTTGCATACTTTAAACTTTAAACATAAACTCCCCATGGAGAGAGAGGATAACGGCCCACCCACTTTGCTTGCAAGTTGAGGCAGCAGGGTCAAAGAACACAGTTTCCAACAGGCATGTTTAAAATGCTACCTCTAATTTCTGTTATTTGATCTCACTCAGCCTCAGTTTCCTCCTCTCCAACACCGAGACAGAGCCACCCTTGAAGGCCCTCGGGGAGGTGCCGCTGGAGACAGTAAGTCCAGTATTAACATGTGGCCAGCATGTTTATATCCTCTCTCCTATTACACATGTGAACTGCTTCTACTGACCTCCAGCAACAGCTGTTTCGTGTCTACGGCTTATCCCAAGACAAATTTCCTTTAGCAGCAATGAAATTTTTTCCCAAAGTCAGCCTAACATACTTGACACCAGCTCAATACCTTCTCACGCTGGATTCCACTTAAGCCCCACACAACCCAACAAGGGAGGCACTGCTATTACAAACACCCATTTTACAGATGGAGACACCAGGGCACAGAACTGTGCTACCTCACCCAGATGCAAAACCAGCAATAGAGTCAGCAGCCTGGCTTATATTTAAATCAGGTGCCTGTAAACTAGTTAGTTCATCTTGTTTTAGTCACTGAAACACACACACACACACACACACACACACACACCTTTTTCTAAAGGTCACCTAGATAAATCTTACATCGACTTACATTCCTGAGTTTTTCTTTCAAATCCAAATTCATAGATGTATTTTCCTCTCTGGGTATTTCTTTCTATCTATGGATACATACCTATCACAGGGCAGTTGCAATGTGAGCTACTTGGCAAATGCAAAGCCTCCTATGGCAGGTACTCTAAATACTATCTTCCCTTCTGATATTCACTGCCTATCAGCCAGACAGCAGAGCTGTATGGTATTTCAAAGAATTCCTTTTATAAATTTAATCAACTCAAGTATTAAACATCAATGGCATTAATCCATTGCTCTGCTTAAAAGGAATCTCTAGGGGGCAGCCGAGAAAGAAAGGTTAAAGATTTCTACCCTTCAAAGTAGGCCACTGCAGCTACCTATAAATCATGCTCTTTGTTTGTTAAGATAATTAAGGCCATCAGCGCACTTAACTTTCAGACTCAACAATTGTCTGGTCTGAACAATCTCCACTTTTCCTAAAACAAAAGGGGATGTGTTCTAACGGGGGTTCTGTGCATGCTCTCTGTACAATGTATGGTATTTCAAAGCATGATTTATGTATCTAATTCCTTGAATTGCCTTGAAAAAAAAAAAATACACCGAATCCTTCCTCCCATGCTCCCTATTGGGAGAAGACACTCCAATTTAAAGAGTGCCCGGTTTCTGACTACAAACCGCTATATCATGTCAACATTTTCATTAAATACGGTTCAAGCCGGACTTGAAACAAACGGAGTGAAGGCACAGCTGCAGCCCCTGCAGATGCGAAGTTATCCAGCCAGCAGGCTTACATAAGAGATGCAGGACAACCCGCCATCGTCTGAATCCTGTTTGAGACTTGCCCACATTCTTAAAGCATATGAATTAAAACGCACAGAGAGCTTCTCTCATTTTCTCTGCCTTGGAGGACAAAACACTCTGTTGACGTCTAAGTTGTTTTCTCACAAGGACTAGGCTCCAATTATGGGAGGTTGGCAACTTCTGCCCTGGGTTAGTGTGAAAAGCTTGCAGGCCTGAGCAGCAAGGTCTCGGCTTCTCATCTCTATGCCCGTCCTCCCAGGGGGTGTCAGCAGAGCCTCCCAGGATGGAGGTGGCCGATGTCCCTGATCCCACGCCGCGCAGAATCAAGGAACTCGGAATGTGCAATTACCGGCGGGTCAAATGCCCTCGGAGCACCTGTCTCTCCTAGCACATTTCCAACTGGCGCATTCGGCAGAGGCAGGAGCCAGCCCTGGACTCCAGCCTTGAGTCCTCGAGTGCCATGCCCCCTCCTCTGCAGCCAAGTACTCCCTCCTCCAGCCGCAGCCCGGCTAACAGGAGGTGCCACCTCGGCCTGGCACGACAGGAATAAAACCAACCTGTCCTTCCCACGGTGCCTGCAACTTCAGAAACTACAGTCAACTTACCGGCTCGCAGGAGGCAGGGGTCTTCTGGGGCTTCAGCGAGCTAAGAAGCGCTGCAACTCCGCCGCACGCAGCCCGGCTGGCCCGCGGTGGCCGGTGGCAGCGGGCTCAGGACCCGCCAATTCCCTGTCGCCTCCGCTCTGCGACGGTGCACTCTCCCCGGCGCACCCGGCGGCCGCGGCGACCCGGACTGCGCCGGGGACCCGAGCAAACGCCGTGGCGGCCGCCAGCCCTGGAGAGCGGTGCTCCGAGATCCGGGTGCGTGTCTCCCGCTCCGAGGGAATGCGACGCTACGGAGTCCCCGCACGGGAGGCTCCGACACGCTACAGAGCCGCCGCTCCTCCCGGGAGGAGCAGTCACAGCCCCCGCGCGCCGGGCGGGAACCGCAGTCCGCGCTGGACGCCGCGCCGCGGAGAATGACAGCGCCGAGGCGGAGCGGCGCGCGGGGCCCAGTGCGCAGGCTCGCGGCTGCTGCGGCACGTCACAGGGGGCGGGGCTAACGGGCGGGGTTGGGCGGAGCGAGCGCGGTGGGGCGGGGTCCGGGGGGAGAGGTTAACCTGGCTACCAGCCGCCGGGTCAGGAGCTGGCGATAGCTCAGCTCAGGGTTGGAAACCTGGATAAAGCTCTGAGTTTGTCTCCTGAGCCCATTGTTCCTTAACGAGCGCAGGGTATCGGAACCGCCTTAGGGTCCCGGGACCGTCCACAAAGGTCAAAATTAACTCAGTTGATTGCTTAACCCCACCAAGGGCTGCAATTTGTGGGCCGCCTTCTTTCACTTTGATCGCGTGTGTACGGTGAACTTGAGCTTGTCAGAGCCCTTTGCCCTGGGTGCACTCCTGAATAAGCACGAGAGAGGTGGGGCCCAGGTATGCAGGTTGTAGATAACCTTGCCTAAAGCTTCGCAAGCGAATCTACTGGTTGTTCGGTAATACGGCGCTGCCGGTGCAGCTGCCCATGGAGTCGGGAGAATGGAAGATTCCCCATTCCAATAGGGTCTAAGATAGGCCGGTGCTGCAAGCCTCGCCCCCGCATCCTGGCCGGCTTAGAGGGCGGAGAACCCTGAGCAGCTCCTGACAGTGTTGGTCCGCCTGAGAATCAGCCGGAAGAGCTTTTAACTGGGGGAGGCGGGGGGGAATACATTCCCAAGGTGTCTCCACAGCCGTTCTGGTTCAGCCCTGGAGATAGGGGTGGGAGGAGTGGGGGGTTGGGTGGTGGACTCTTGCCTGTAACAAGCTGTAGATAACTGTGACAGGGGTTTCGCTGGCCTCCAGCAACCTGGAGTTGAGGCTTGTCTGGTAACAAATAACTAGACCAGATGTGGAGCTCAGGTCTTCGGAATCCAAGTCCATGGTATTCTAAACCAATCAGTTCTTTGTCTGAGTAGTCCACTTTTTCTGCACGTATTAAGAGGTTTTGTTGTTTTGTTTTTTTTTTTTTAAACAACAACAAAAAGCCTGTACAAGTGATGTTAAACACACAGTCATTCACTTTATTGAACACACATGTTTCACTTGTAAAGGTAGCGTGAAGTTGGCTGGCTAAACAGGCTCATTATGAGCGGAAGGGTGGGAGTAGGAAGCGGAGTGGCTGAGCAAGGAATGTTAATATGTTGCAGAGAGTGTGTAGATGTCAGACTAAACCTTCAGCTTGGAAAGGTACTTTGGCGATAAGAATGCAGGATCCAGCGTGGTGTCCTTTTTCAGAGGCGAGGAGCTCCGTGGTTCAAGAGCTTGTAAAGGCGTGGATTTCACTACCAGGCTGTCTTGGTTGCTTTTCTCACTGCTGCGACAAAATGTTTGGCAACCGCAACTCAAGGAAGGAAGCTTTAATACGGAGTCAAGGGCTGAGGGTACAGTCTACCGTGGTGCCGGAGGCGGCCCGGCACATTGCATCTGTTATGGTCCCAATATCCCAGTCCATGACACTGCCCATGTTCAGTGTGGCTCTTGGCTCCTCCGTTAAACCCCTCTGGAAACACCTTTACAGACACACCTAGAGATTTTTTTCCTAAGAGAATCTAATTCCTGTAAAGCTAACAAGAGGAACCATCACAATTACCTCACTGAATCCCACAATAATCTTCTAAGTTACGTATGAAAAGTTGGTATCTATTTTACACTCTTAAAAATGCATTCTGGAGGGCTTCATTTCTGAAGTGCTTGCTGCAAAGGCAAGAGGATCTGAGTTTGGATCCCTAGAACTCTCTTAAAAAGCCAGATGTAAAAAAAAAAAAAAAGCCAGATGTAGCCGGAGAGGTGCTGGCATTAATCCCAGCACCTGGGCGGCAGAGGCAGGCAGATCTCTGAGTCTGAGTCTGAGGCCACCCTGGTCCTCAGAGTGAGTTCCCGGATGGCCAGGGTTACACAGGGAAACCCTGTCTCAAAGATAGATAGATAGATAGATAGATAGATAGATAGATAGATAGATAGATAGATAGATAGATTAAAGTAAATAAAGCCAGAGGTAGAAGCACACATCTGCACCCTTGGACCTGGGATGTGGAGATGCAGTGATCCCTGGGGCTTGGTGACCAGGCAGTCTTACTCACATCAGTGACCTCCAGGCTCAGTAAAAGCCCCTGACTCAGAAATGAGGTGGAGAGCAATTGAGGAAGACACCCAGCATCAACCTCTGATGCCCACCTGTGAACATGTATGCACATAGGTGACACGCATAACTAATGAAATAAAGCCAAAGAATAAGCAACAAGAAAAAGCCCACCCCAGGCATCATTTGACTGTTCTGGCGGAAGCATGGTTCAGATGTCAGATGTCTAAGGAAGTGATGGAATCTTGTAAAGAAAATGCTTCCTTACAAAGAAAATGCTCTCCACATATTTTTAAAGACTTTGCCAAAATTTTGAGTTAGAAAGGCTTTCATTTTCTAAGGAGGAAGTGTGCCTGTGTCTCCATCCAGTTTGGCAGCTTCATGTAGTGGGGTTGCAGAATGGTTTCCAGAGCATTATAGTACTGCTGTTACAAAGCACAAGTCTTGCCAGGGATTTAGAAGGGCACCACTCAAACTTTCCCGGGACAAGTGTGATCACCATCCTCATTTTACCTGGGAGGAGCGACTGAGAAGAAGGCACTCATCCCAGCAGAGGTCTCCAGCCTCTGTCTCTCTCCCCTGCCCTTTTCACCAAACGACACACTGCAGATTAGTTTCCAAATTGTTCATATCAGGATCTACAGTCATCCAATGAGAACTCGAAGACAAGTCTTGTAGCGAATGCATAAACTGCACTCCCAGCCTGGGAAGTTTTAGAAGCAACTGTATGATATTGATATATCCTTCTACAGAGGCTAGCCTATCCCAACTGTATCCATACTCCCTTGCGATTATAAAAGAAGTAGATGAGTTCATAGAAAGAGAATTCCTTTAAAATGAGGTACCTGCTACATCATAGATAGTAAATTTTTTAATGACTTATTTATTTTTATTCATTTGTATGTGAATGTGCTTTGTGGGTTTATGTGCATCGTGTGTGTAGATGCCTAAGAAGGCCAGAAGAGGAAAGTAGATCCTTTGTAACTGGCATCACAAGCAGTTTAATGCTGTTGGATGTGGGTGCTGGGAATTGAACCTGGGTCCTCTGTGAAAGCACCATATATTCTAAATCACAGAGCCATCTCTCCACTCCCTGGTCCAGTTTTTCAGTAAGAGTAATTTAACAAAAAAAGAAGTTAATAGAATGAATCATGTTGGAACTTTTAAGTAAAGAACTCCGTGTTTGTTACTTTTCCTATTGTTGTGATAAAATAACAGACAACAGCAACTTAAGGAAGGGAGATTTATTTGAGATCACTGAAAGGTACAGCCCCTCATGGTGAGGAAGGTGTGAAACAGCTGATCATGTTGTATTCACGGACAGAAAACAGGAGAGATGCGTGCTGGTACTCAGCTTCCTTTCTCTCTCTCTCTCTCTCTCTCCTTTGTCCATTTTATTTACTCTGGGACTCTAGCCTATAGCAAGCATGGTGCCACTTGAACCCACGGCAGTTCTTCCTTCCTTGGTTGAAGCTCTGTAGACACCTGTCATACACTTACATGGAGATGTTTCTCTTAAATGATTCTAAATCCTGTAAGTTTAGAAAGACCTTAACCATCACAAAACCACAGTTATGCTAGCTTTCCAAGGCACCAGCAACTCCATCTAAAATATTTATCTGTGTAGCATTTATTGACTTCAAGCGATCCATGGCTCAATTCTATAAAAAATTAATTAGTATGTCCCACTGCCATTGTGTTTTGAGCCACTATTATTGACATTTAAGACATGAAACATATAATATTGTCTTAGTATTGATTGAATCCTAGTATTGACCATGTTTGCATTTTGAATTTATTTCTTGTTAGTTGCCATTGTGTGTTAAGAATAGCAGATACATTCTCTCTCTCCGAGATTTGTATTTCTTTTGGGCTAACAGAGCCTGCTCTTTCAGAATTTCTTCTTCCAATAACCCTAAAAGTGTCACTCCTGGGGTTTTCAATTATACACACTAGCAATAGTACCGAATCTATTCTTTCCCCTTCAAGAAGCTATGCCTAAGACAGATTTCCTTTCTTTTAAATTAAACTATTTCTGCTAAGAATCACAGGATTATCACTGAGCTAAGGCGTCTTGGCTGGAAAAGTCTTCACCTTTATTAATTATATTTCTTGATTTTTTTTTTTCATTTTGAAGGGATTCTTGGACATGAAAATCTCCAGTTCTGCCTGCTACACAGAGATGATCCAGATGAGAAAACTGGGGAAATTCAGGGTGGCTGACAAAGCTGGCAGAGTCGGAAGCAGAGAAAATAGATGCTGCCCGGTGAAAAGCTTAATAGAAAACTCTATACATAGTGTGCCTGACTTTTGAATACAGGTGATCTCATTCACTCTCTCATGCCTTGAACACTTGCAGTGGCAAACAGTGTCACTGGAATCCATAGCTGAATCTCTGGTTGGGTTCAAGTCTATCTTGTTTCCTGAGAAACCAGTGTCTTGCCCTGCTGTAAGAAACCTATGGAATTCCAGTATGGCAAGTGCGCAGATCTAAAGCAGTTTATCTTGAATGTAGGCACATGAGAACAGATGAATATAGTGAAAAGATGATCAGGACAGATGAGGAAAAGCCTGCTAAAGGAACTTAATCGCCTCGTGCTGTACTGCAGAGTAAAAGAAAGAGCTTACAGATTTGCTACTTTCTATTAGAGGGGAGAACACTTATGACAGCAAGAGACAGTTTTTACAGAGGTAAAAGCAGAGACTGTTTTCAGAATTGTCTTTAGGAGTATTCTTATTGTCGTGAGTTATCCTACCTCACACATTCCTTACGTTTTTCTCTCCTGGGGTCGAGCATTCAAGATCTGTGGCTGCAAAGCTAATGCTCAGACTAGGCCTAAATTCATACTCTCTTCTGCA